AGAGATGCGGAGGGTGAGAGGATTCACCAGGGACAGAGTGGGGAGCAGAACAGGCAGATCGACGAAGTACACTGCTGAGGGGAGCAGCGGGCTGGTCAGGAGAGGTCTGCCGTGCCATGTGGTCAACTCCGGGGCAGGCGGGGATCGAACTCAAGCGGAAGTGGCTTTAGCTTCTTAATGCTGTGCTTTAACCCGCTGCGCCACCAGAGAGGGCCACATCTATTTTTTAAATTGAAAGAATTTTCAGATAACCAAGAAACAAACTATTTATATTGATCTTATTTAATTACTTTCTTACTTGTGGATAGTGTTTGACTTCTCCCCTCAGATCTCCCCTAGGGAGGCCCCTTAGGTCTCCTGCCAAACACAGCGCCCATGACCCATCCCCACAGTCTCTGGTGCTCCTTCTTTTCCTCCCTATTTTGGTCCCTCTCCCTCCCTCACACCCCCCACCCCCCCCCATGCCTCAGAGCTATGGTCTCCCCACAAGTTTTGTCTTCCCTCCTCCTTTGTTTGGAAGAAACAAAAGCAGAGAAAGGAGAGGTCATGAGGGCTGCAGAAGACCCTTCCACCTGCCATAGCAGGTGACCCCTTACCTGGTCAGTGTTACCCTCCAGGACCTTGGTCAAGGTTTCATTCCCTTCAGAATTCATAGTTTTGGAATTTTCAAAACTCAAAATCTTCATATTTCAAATATCTCAGTTCCTGGGGGAATGGTGTTGGTATGAGTGGGGATCTCTGTTCATGCTGGACAAAGAAATAGGGTTGTGTGACTTTTCACTGTCTGTGTACTGGCTTTTAGAATGTTAACATTCTTCTGTGCGTTGGAAAATAATTTCTATTTCTAGTTAAATTTTCTGGTTTTCTAATTAGCAAGTAATATGACCTGATTTTGAAAGGATTTTACTTTTTATGGATTTTTAAATATTGTACTACTTTTTATTGAGGTAGCATTGGCTTACAGCAGCACGTATGATTGGCGGGAGTAGGCTCCCACCTTTTCAGATGTATGTCGCCAACCACATCCACCACTAAGGTGCCATAGTCCACCACAGGCCACGGGACCCATCCCTGCCTTGCTCTTCACCCCTGCTTCCCTCTGGCAGCCTCAGTTCACCTTTCCTCTTTGTGTGTATATACAAACATACACACACACAAAGCATATATATATATATAAAGTATATATAAAGTTTCCACAGAGATTGTTATGAGTTCTAAATCAGAGAGCTCCAATTATATTAAAATCCTGCAGACACCAGGAGTCAGCAAAGCCATCCTTCCACAGACCAGTTTTCCCAGGGAAAGCTGTGGGGAATGCATAGTGGCAGGTCAGCCACCGGTGCTGCTGTCCTCCTTCCCCAGGCCATCAGACTCCCCTGGCCTTGCTGGGCTGCTGGGCAGTCCAAAGCCATGGTGATGCTTGTTAGCATGAGCCAGGGACTCTGTCTCAGCATAGCGCCAGGAGATTCATCTCCGTGTTCGTAATGATACGGCATTTTCAGCAAAGAAGAGAACAAACCCAGTGTGTAAGTGAAACTCTTGAAGGATAGTTGAACTTAAAATGACTCAGTTATTTCTCTCTCTTTTATAGATGGAAAGCTTTTTTAAAAGATATCCAGAAGCTGGAGCAGGAGAAACACCAAGACAGCAAGTGTTGGAAACCGTGAAAAACAATATTGCATGGCTTAAACAAAACAGGGACAGCATTGCAAAGTGGTTTGAAAGTGTGTAGTAGGAATAACTGATGTGTTCAGATAGCGTAGTTTCACTGTGTGAATGTTGCTTCTCCTGTTAAGCATTTAGTGACCTAATTTATAAGCACTATGGTGGGAACTTTATGCAGATACTGCTTTTACTGAGTATTGTGTTTTATATCTTGCAAAACTTTCAAATTGCTCCTCTTTGTTTATGAAGATGCTGATAGAATAGTTAATGGACTCAGGGATTTTTCAAAGTGCACTTCACAGGAGATTTTGTTTTTTTACACATTGAAGACAATTTAATAGCTATTTTAGTATCTTTAAATATCATTCTTTGTATCTTAAATCTAGGAAAATAGAACAATTTGGTTGTAGCTTTACATTTTTAGTGCTAAAGAAACTCCCCTTAATCTTCTCTCTTGATTGATTTTTAAAGTTTAAATACCAGTACTTGGGGGACCAATATTACTATGTTAATCTTTATTTTATTATTCAGAATTACACAGACTTAATATCATCTTATTCACATTTGTCTTACTCATTTAAATACTACCAAAGTAACCTGGGCTTAAGTTCTATTTAAGGATTGTAGGAATTAGCCAAAGAAATGGCTGGCTGTTGCCTTCGCTCTCACAGAATCAACAAGAGAACTCTCCTCTCCTTTTAAAAATAAAGCTAAATGATTACCATGAAGAAAATAATATTGTTTTCCAGTGTCACTTTACTCTTGAATAATAATGACTGTAGCATTCTCCAGCTAGTTTAGCACAACACAAATGTGATTCAAGAACCAGCCTTTTTTATGCTTGGTGTCCTGCTCTCTTCCTCAAGTTCCTACAAAGCTCCTGCAAATCTGCTATGAAATTAGAAGATAGTGTTTAACTCTGCCTCATGGATTTTAGTGGCTAAATAATTAGAAACTGGTCAGGAAAGAGAGAAGGCTGATTATTCCATAAAGCTAAGTGGAATTAGAATTTAGCTGTGGCCTCACCTAGTGTGAAAAGGAAGAAAAACTCATGAATGTCTCCAGAATTGCTGAGAATATGTCTTTTTAAAGGTAACTTTTATGTATGAACCCTTAGGTTCTAAACCATACAGAACAGCACTGGTCAAATTTATGTCACAATTTGATTAAATACAAGTAAAAGCTGGTATCAGAAATATACTTAACATGACATTTGATGCTGAGAAGATCCACAGTATAAGTCCAATAGCCAAAAAAGATGGCAAAGTACTCCTTTCCAATCTGCAATATCTGGAAAATCTAAATTAGTAACTTCCAGCTGTTATAATTTGAATAGGACTTAAAGATAACTGAAGCACGCAGGAACAAGCAAGACCTTGATTTTATTTACATAAATAATACCCCTCAATCAAGTGGTCTCAAACTTTATACACTTCCCCGCTGCTGTGTCTTAATTATCACTTTCAGTGGTTCCAGATAAACTGGCACATTCAAATGTACACTCGTGGGAAGAGGACAAAGACAAAAAAAGAAGAAGAAGAAATCTCTAGACCAAAACTTTTAAAATATTATTTTAAGTTACTTTAGAGGAAAAAAACACATTAACACCATAGATCATCAAGAAAAAAAAACCCACTTGCTCATGGGAATGAACCCCCAAACTTCAGCTTGACTACAATCCAAACCAGTACTTGAAGACTTCATGCTGTTTCAAACAGACAATTAAGGGAATTGAATAGTTGTTCCTTCTGCTTTCTGTCATAAATATGATTTCAATAGGAATTTATGTTGCAGAGGACTAATAAATAAATCAGATTACAAGTTGCCCACGAGTCATTCTGTTTCATGCCAAGTTCTGTTTTAGTCAGTTTTATGCACTAAAACTGAGAATGAATTGTTTAGTTCTCTTTACACCACATGAAAAAGAAACTGTCAGTCTTTAGCTTGAGAACTGCACTGGCCCATCAGGCTCCTCTGGTTTTTAAAAGGCTGATGACCCAAAAATGAGATTTGGCCAAAGCCATGACAGCACAACTTGGTTCCTGTCATGGATGATGAAGAAGATGATAGCAGTGATGAAAAAAGGATCCATTGGAAGACCCATGAGCAGGGGGAGAGGATGAAGGTACAGAAGCTGAGGTTGTTGATGGGGGAGGAAAAAGAGGGGGAAGAAGAAGATGACTTAAGATAACACATGGCTCCCAACCTCACTATATGTTCTCCCATCCCGGGAGCCAGTGCTTACTCACCCTATTTCTGGAGTCTCTTTTCTCTCCTTTACTGCATGGTTTTCAACTTACTTTGAAGGAAAATATGTCAATACAGTGGGAAAGAAATCTCTACCCATTTCTGTTCCCAGTACATTTTTATTACTTCCTATTTCAACCAAAACTTTATGGACTCAATGCTACCATGTACTGTGGGAAAGAGCGAAGTCTGCCCTCTTTGCTCTGCTGGAAGCCAGAGCATGCTGGGCCCCTGCGTGAGAGGACATAGAATCCCAGCTGTTCTCTGCCCTCCTCTGTATTGGGCTCAGACATTGCACTGTATCTCTATGTAAATATGGATACTTAGCATTTACCAACACTTGCCCACTTTTTCTTGATTTAAAAAGGGGAATTGTTAAGCGGCCTTATAGATGGTCGGCAAAAGGGTGGTCTTGACATGCCTGGGTGGGTGAAGTGGGCATTTTGACAACTTCTTCTTTGGTATATTTCAGTGGGGTGTTTAATAGACATTCTTGTGGTTGAAGATGACACCTTTAAAATAAAATGCTCTCCTAATGAAATAATAAAAATAAAAGAAATAACTGATGACCCATAGCTGACTCTATGGCAAGCATAGTTGACAGCTGGTTGGGTTTTGTTACAGGTTTCACAGAGGAAAAATGAATGAAGATGTTTCCAGAGTGAAGCCACTTTAAAGATGTAACTAGAAGAAATGATCAGCAAGGTCACGTAGCACCAGTATCTTGCAGCCTACCCTGTACCAGATTATTAGCTGCACCCACGTAAGCTAAGAGGCTGAGGAATGAGCCAGAAGCATAAAGCTAACAGGTGAGGAAGGTCTGGGAGCAGAGATGCACAGCTAGGGCGAAGGCAGTAGCATTTTCACATTTTCCTGCATATTGGTAAAGCATCAGCCAGAAAGTAAATAAAGTGGAAACAAATATCTAGTTCAATAATTCTTGTAGGGTTGGGGAGTAAAGAGAGAACAGAAGGAAATGGAGAGCATGTTTACCAATGGAAGTTTCTAAAACATCACTGAATAATAATTCCACAGGCTAGTTTTTTCAAACCTGGCAGATTTCTAAGCTCTCTAGTATCCCACATATATAGTTTACAAAAACCCGGCCCTCCCCAGTGGCACAGTGGGTTAAAGCTGATCATAGCCGCTTCAGTGTGAGATCTGTCTCCTCCCCGGAGGTGACCCACATGGTATGGCAGACTTCTCTTGACCCGCCTGCTGCTCCCCTCAGCAGTATACTTTGTCAATCAGCCTGTTCTGCTCCCCCCATGTCTCTGGTGAGCCCTCTCACTGCCCCTGTACTTCTGGCCTGTTCTGTGTGCATAAATAAATAAATCTTTAAAAATTAAGTAAACTTTACCAAAATCCATGAAGTAGGTTACATCCCTAGTTTAGAGGTAAAGAAACTGAGGCAGAGAAATTACAGAACTTGCTTTAGCCCATCATAGTGGTATATCCATCAGGACTCAAACCTAGGCAGAATCTGTTGTTAACCACAATGAAGTAGAAACACATGCTTCAGATTGGAGTGGCAGAGTGGCCTGGGTTTGAATTTCTACTATTTGGAATTCTATGTCCTTAATCTCTCCTCAACTTCCGAATTTTAAAGGGAGAATAATTATAACTACCTGAGTGGTAGAGCAGGTTGTGAGAATTAAATGCTAAGATTGCATGTAAAAGATAAATGTATGAGAAGTAATAAAATCAAGAAACACCAGCTGCTATTGTTATAATATTACTTTATGTCCTAGCCCTCACTGAAGACACCAGTTTGAAGAGTATAATAAACACGAGTTCAAACCTAAGCAACCAAGAGCACTAAGAATAAGCAATGTGTCAGCCTATGTCATTGTACAAATAGTCATCTCTGCTTCCTGCATGAGAAGCCATTGTCCCACCCTTTGAAGGCTAGATGGGTGAATGGCTCACACTGGCTATTGAAATAGGAGTAAACGTGATGTATGTTGATTTCAGGCAGAACTGTCCAGAGCCAGGACATACTTTGCCATGTTCTCAATTCTTCTGCAACTAGATCCACCAGCATTTCAGGCAGAGGCTGCTCTGCTAGCCTGAACTTCAGGATGAAAACGACAGGTAGAATTTAGCCAGCACAGTGCTAAAGATGCATTGTGAGTAAGAAATAGTCTTTCTTAAAGGTATCACTGAGGTTCTCAGATTGTCTGTTACTGTAGGATAATCTAGTGTAACCTATCTAATGTAAACACTGAATGAATATGATATTCTACCAAGGAATTTATTTCCAGCTCTTTTTCCTCCTCCTTCCCTTATCAAACTTTTTTGTCTTTGTTAAGATTTGCAGGCTAAAAATACTTCTTTACATTTTTATGTTTATTTCAATTTTTTATTGCAATAACATAACATTATAACATGTTAAGTTTTGGGTATGCATCTTCATAAGTCCAGGGGAAAATCATAAGAAGAAAATTGTTCATGGCATATAAAAACTCTGTGAAATTCAAATTCAAATACACATCTCCAGGAGGCCTCCAAAGTTGGTTTCAAGAGTCAGTGAACTACAACGGTGTATCTTTTCCTTTTGGCACAGCAGCGGACAAGATTGCAGATAATGCTGTTCTAAGAAAAAGATCAGGCCCTCCCTGGTGGCGCAGCGGGTTAAAGCACAGCATTGAGAATCTAAAGCCGCTTCCGCATGAGTTCGATTCCCGCCTGCCCCGGAGGTGACCACATGGCGTGGCAGACCTCTCCTGACCCACCCGCTGCTCCCCTCAGCAGTGTACTTCCTCGATCTGCCTGTTCTGTTCCCCACTCTGTCGCTGGTGAAGCCTCTCACCGCCCCTGAGCCTCTGGCCTGTACCCCAGTTCTGTATGCACAAATAAATAAATCTTTAAA